GAGGTGAGCGAACCCGGTATGTGTTCGCTCACCTCCCGATCTACTGAGCCGACCTGTGACAGTTTCATTGTCACAGGTTGGCTAGGACTATGAGGTGAGTGAAAAGCACTCGCCTCATAGTTCTCCTTTAAAGCTAAACTACAACCGCACCCTCAGTCTTGCACAGTTGTACTGACTCCTCTCCTGTACCAAAATTGCTTACTTTGATTTCACTGCACACTGTGAGCTTCTCACGATGTGCATTAGAAGCTGAAGCAACTCAGATAAAGCTCAAATAATTTGCTGCGTAGAGAACATCCAGCATCATCTTCTTCTTGCGAATGGCGGTCTGCATGCAAATGTCCCCGACCCGTGCCTAAATACGCCCCAGACTGCCACCCACCCATCAAGGATTTTTATATTTGCATTTGCATACTTCTACCTCCATTGCATAGAAGAGCACAGAGACCCAGTGATGATGTCACTAAAATAAGGCATGTAATGAAAACGGAAAGGTGTTATTTAAAAACTTCCTTAGTATGTTGATGAGGGAAGGAAGGAATTGGTGAGGGACAATTATAGGCCCATTCAATTACAGCTGTAGGTTTCGGGCCACATGTGTCCCGACATTTTAAAACCTCACATGGGGATACATTTATAGTGGCAGTAAAGTGAGTGGAGAAAGCGGCCAGGCGCTTTTAGCCATAATGTGCTGGTATGCACAACATATTAGTACATTATGGCAGCTCCAGCACTGCGCTCCTATCTCACCGAGGTTTTCATCTTTAACCCGGTCATCTTCTGGGTTCTGATTTTTTAGCTGCTTCATTGGCCTTGTCATGGTGACTTAGCTCCTGTGCATGTGCACAGGAATGACCATCTCAGCATGCCAAGCCTGTGCCCTGAGCTACGCATACAGTCTTTAGTACCTCTTCCCTCATTTATCTGATGATCTGTATACCATTAGCTGAGTTGCAAGTAGTAGGTTGAGGGATGGAACTACAGACCTGGCGATAACCAGCCACCTGGAAAGTCAACACCCACCCTCCTCCTTTTAGTCACTGTCATGGCTTTTTTGGTGAATTTTACCTGGCTGTTTTAAATGTTCTTGTTTTACGCCCCTTGTGGGTCTTGTTAGTCAGATACCTGTCTGGGAATGGTGGTTAATGGCCCTTTCAGAACCATTGTGCTGTGGTAACACACATTACGTGCGTTGGTGTGCTGTGGTGGATGCACTTTGAAGTTTTGTTTTCTACCTTACACTTGGCAAAGTAAACAAACTAATTGTTTTTCAGAGAGAATCATTCATGTGTCCCAGTTTGCATAAATCTTTAGGAATATCGGTTAAAAGAAAATCCACTTTCATTTAAAAAAATAATATAACATATATAATTGCTGCACAGCCATGTTGTGATTTAAAGCGGAACTCCACAATTTACCACCCCAATGACATAGTGTTTTTCTGCCTTAAAGAGAAACACTGAGAAGGAAATGGGGGACAGTGTGGGGAAGGTAAAGGAAGACTGGCACTATTTTTTTATATATATAAAAGAAATTGTGATGTTCTACTTTAATGATCTTTCCATTGCAATCTGAAAATATGTTACAAGTTATGATCTAAAACTGTTAAATAAAAGATAAGTCTCCTTTTTTGGCACGTTGGGGGTATTTTCTAGACTGTTGTGTTCAAAATGTCTCCAGAAAATTAATTTCCTGCTATTCTTAGCAAGGTGTCTCTTATTACAGCACTGGAAGTATCACATTATTATAGAAGGCAGAATGCTCAGCTAAGCACTTCCTTTCATTTCAAGATGTTACTAGGATAATCTTTTCCAGCATCTACAGGGTTAAAGCAGTTAGGCGTATACAATGAAGACTTCTAAAATCCCTGGAAGGTTTGGTGACCAGTAGAAGATGTCACTTAAGTCACCAGTAACACAATCTGCTAAGACAGCAGCATGTCACATTGGTGCCTCTCCTGTCTTTGTAGAACTAGAAGTCCCAGCATGGCCCACTGGTGCCCCTCATGTCTCTGTAGAAATAGAAGTCCCAGCATGTTTACCTGGTTTCTCTGTAGAACTAGAAGTTCCAGCATAACCCACTGGTGCCTCTCATGTCTCTGAAGAACTAGAAGTCCCGGCATGTCACACTGGTGCCTCTCATGTCTCTGCAGAACCAGAAGTCCCAGCATGTCACACTGCTGTCTCTCCTGTCTATGTAGAACTACAAGTTCAAGTGTGCCATACTGACATTTCTTCTGTATATGTAGAACTACCCAATATGTAAAATTACAATTCCAAGCACTAATGATTCTCCTGTGTATGTAGAACTAAAAGTCCCAGGTACTGGTATCTCTCTCCCGTCTCCTGCATGCCCACTACCCACACTGACAGACACATTCTGTTATCTCTTGACTGGTCTTACTACCTCGGACTATCTGCCAGTCAGACATGGTGAACAGGAATTATTTCATTCACTAACATGATTCTGCACTTGTTAATTTCTATTTTTCTCTTTGCATTCATTTAATTGCGGAAATATAGAACAAAAAATATTTGTATTTTAGTTTCTTAATAGCCTATTTCCAGATGTTAACTGTTGAGGATATTTCCCCTTACTTCCTGTTCTGTCTGATACCTGTTACCTGGACAGGAAGCGAGAGGAAACCTCTTCTTTTGCTGTAGTCCCAACTGTGGCTTTCTCACTCACTTCCTGTTCTGCCTAGGTAGCCCGATTGCAGGGGTCAATTTTTAAAATGCCCGGCGTTCTTCTTTAAGCTGACCATACATGCTTTAAATCCATCCATCGATTCCCCTATCCACAAATGGAGAAATCACCGCTGCCGGCTATTGTATTCAGCAGTCTCTGCACCAGCATGGAAAGGGTCATGCACGGCTCAAATTTTGTCAGATTCAGCAGAAATGGGCTGAAAATCGAGCAATGTATGGCCATCTTATGTCCTATAAATCAGAGCTCAGAGGAATTCAGCCAATCACTTCCCTAACAGCCATGACAGTCACATGATACAGCAGGCACACTTTATTATCCCCTCTCAGCTAATTAGTCCATATGAACACAAATACCTGATTCAGCCTTTACAAAATATTACATTGGCAGAAATTCAGATGATACAATTATTATGAAAAAAAGATAACCAATATTAAAGTCTAAAATAAAAATCAGTAAGAAAAGTTGTTCAGGCCTGTTCAAGTGTTCTGCCTATATTCAGTATGGCATTTCCTACATACAGTAGATCATTTACTAAACACAGTATGCCATTTCCTATATACAGTATATCATTTCATATATACAGTATATTTCCTATATACAGTATGCCATTCCCTATATAAAGTATATAATTTCCTACATACAGTATATAATTTCCTACATACAGTATATAATTTCCTATTGCAGTATATCATTTTCTACATACAGTACGGTATATCATTTCCTATTGCAGTATATAATTTCCTATATACAGTATATCATTTCCTATATACAGTTTATCATTTCCTATATACAGTATATAATTTCCTATATACAGTATATCATTTCCTATATACAGTTTATCATTTCCTATATACAGTATATAATTTCCTATATACAGTATATCATTTCCTATATACAGTTTATCATTTCCTATATACAGTATATAATTTCCTATATACAGTATATCATTTCCTATATACAGTTTATCATTTCCTATATACAGTATATAATTTCCTATATACAGTATATCATTTCCTATATACAGTTTATCATTTCCTATATACAGTATATAATTTCCTATATACAGTATATCATTTCCTACATACAGTATGCCCTTTCCTATATAAAGTATATCATTTCCTATAAACAGTGTGCCATTTCCTATATACAGTATATAACTTCCTAAGTACATCGATGCATTGTACAGCCTACATGAACTTGCTGTAAAGAGGAAACTGATTTGTCATGTCCTACAGAGGGAGCTTTGCTGAAATGCTGCAGCAGAACTGTCTCACCTTTACTGAAGGACAATTTGCTTCTTCATCCCACTAGCTTCTTTTTTTTTCCCTTCAGTAATGCTACATAAAACCAAACACAATATGATCTTGCAGATCCTGTAAGTGACTTCTTTCTAAATGAATATACAGAAAAGGTTATGTCCCAAGCTAATGAATTCCAGGGAAGACATCACACCCATAGGCAACCTAGCACCCACACCCTGCCTACTGGACCGCCATATAACACTCTTGGGTGGGGATGTATAGGGCAGGCTGATAATGGGACTGCAGTATGATCATTCAGAACAAAAAGTCAAAAGTTCTGCATGAAGGGCCATTAACCCCTTCCTTCAAAGTAGCCTGCAGGCTGTTTAAGGTCATGTACAACTTTTGAAACTGCAAGGGTTAACTAGTCAAATAGAATTGGAAAAAAAAATGGCTGGCAAATTATGCAATTAACCTTGACACAATTGTAATTGGTTGTGCAGAAAACTGAAAATGAGGATTTGTCCTAGTTGCTTAGCAATATATACTTTTCCAAAGACATCTTCCTATGCATATTGAGGATTGTTATGTGGTTGCTGAAATCCTTGGAAAGGACCCAAAAAAACACCCACCCACCCACGAGGAAACGAAACACTGCAGTGGGGCATCTAGTAACCCATCATTTAATATTCATCTAGAAGTCACAATAATTGTTGCATCTGTTTAAAAAAACATTGATCTGAATGGACACATAATATATAAAAGTCACAACATTTATTATTATCTTTTGGGTATTATGCCAGGCAGTTTAGAGCAGCTGGTAGCATGCCATGCTTTCCAGTAAGAATGTTCCTATTTTGTAAAGACATAATCAAGGTAGACTGGTGCATGGGATGAGTACTGCAATGCAGACAGAGTTTGGTGTGCCTGCATGGGCTCCTAACACTGCATTGCAGAGCACAACTTTATAGAGGCACCGTTTGCGATTTCTATCACTCGCATCCTATAATCCAAGAGGATTTTCAAAGCCATCATCATATTATTACTTACCTGCAAGGCTTGAATGTCCTCCCTGGAACATAGCAGCCCATGTTAGTAGCAGTAAAGGATTCATGCTGAAATGTAGAAAACTTGCAGCTTTTGTCCTGAGCTGGTCCAGGGAATGCTAATGATGCATTAAGCTGGCATACAGGAGGTAGGATCAGCTTCTTTCGTATAGCAGCATAGTAGCAGTGCAGAGCGCAGAGTGCTTAGTCTGTCATCCCCACACTGTGGCACTAAGCCTCCTAGCCAGGCTGGGGAGAGATCACATGACTACCTTTCATTGAAGCCAACTGGAAGACATTTTTATTATGGGCTACATACTTCCTAGAATAGTAGCAGCAGTGATAATAAACTGATGCATTCAGAATACATTACAATAAAGAAGATTTTAACTTTTTGGCTAGGGATACAATACACAGCTGTAAAAAATGTAAATCTAATGCACCAATTGCAGCAGTGAAAGGTTATATGAGATAGCCATTAACATATAAAATGTGAAAAATGATCAATTTCATGGTACAATAATAATCTATACACATAATACAAATAATACAAAAACTATAGATATTTGCTATTAATGGAAGTAATGCATGCACAGGTTAAAGAAGAACTCTGGCCATATTAAACATTAACCCTTGCAGTTGGGCTACCCCCCGCACTGAAAAGGTTAAGTGCTCATTTTGGTCTAAAAAAATATATGCTCACCCGATTCTCTTCCCCGGGGCGGCGACCGCTCACCTCTCTCCCCTTCCACTCTGGCCGTGGAATGTCCCTCGGGGTCCTCACATCCAATGCAAGTAAATGGATGTGATGATGACGTCACAGGTCCTTAGACCGCTGGAGCCCAGAAGAGAAGAGGCTGTGGGGACCGGTCTAGCAGCCAGGTGGGACTGTGGATCAGGTGGGTATATTGTTTTATTTTAGACGAAAAGAGCAGTTATCCCTTGCAGTGCGGAGGTAGCCACCTTGTAAGGGTTAATGTTTAAAAGAGGTAAGTGTTTTTCCCCATAGTTCTCTTTAGGGAGGGGGCGTGGCCTGGCGATTCATGTGAGCGGACGCGGCTGAGAGAGCTCCAACACGAGATCCTGATAATATCCTCAACATCTTCACTAATACTGTATAATTGACACCTACGCACCTTCCTTGTACATACCGGACCCCTCGGGACTGACAGGTACCGCTCGGTCATTCTCTTTTTTCTCGGGATGACGAGAACCAACGATGCGGCCCTCACTGGAGGTATGGACCTGCAAGATGGCCGTGGCTCGCGTGTGCCAGCCCAGACTCCTCGTAAACAACAGAGGGACCGCTCCAGGGATGTCGCCTCGAGGCTCGAGCAGTTTGCAAGGGGGACACCGAGAGGACCATGCCGCAAATTGCGAGTGACAGATGCGGGAGGCAGTACACCGCTGGCATCTCGCTCAGCTACTGGCACCGATGGCTCAGATCCTGAAGATGGTGCGGTGAGTGACACATGTGCTCCCCCCTCTACCAAGAAAAAAAAGAATAAGCCCCGCAGGTCTTCCCCGCAGCCCACGCTCAAAGATGTTTTCTCGGCCATACAACGCTGCAACTCATCCATATCCTCCCTGACCGACCAAGTACATGGGATGCGGGCGGATATATCATTCCTACGGCATGACCTCCAAAAGGTCCGAGACAGAACCATAGTCTTGGAGGGTCGGCTTGGTGACCTTGAGGATGCTAATGCCCCCATTCAGGCTGACCTCAAATCCGCACTCAAGATCCGCAGAGAACTCCTTTAAAACTGAGGATATTGAAAATAGACTGAGACGCAACAATATAAGAGCTGTTGGGATCCCTAAGAGGGCGGAAGGCCCCAACCCCACGCTATTTGCTGAAAAATGGCTGATTGAAACCTTTGGTAAAGAGTCCTTCTCCCCAATGTTTATGGTAGAGCGGGCGCACAGGGTTCCAACTAGGCCTCTCCCACCTGGGGGTCCGCCACGCCCTATGCTGTTTCGCCTCTTGAATTTTCGGGATAAAGAAGTCATCCTCTGTAAGGCTCGTGAGATGGGAGAAATTTCCATGGAGGGATACAAATTCATGCTTTTCGCGGATTTTTCCCAAGAGGCCCAGAAAAAGAGGGCTAAATTTCTCGAGGTAAAGCGACGACTTCGCCAACTCAAGTAACCCGGCCTCCCCCCCCACTACCTCAGGCTTAAGTCATTTCTGCGCAGAATTGGTGTTGCAGGATGCATGGAGACTCCTCCACCCCACCACATCCCAATATACATGCTTTTCTGTCTCCCATCGCTCTCTCTCCCGTATTGACCTCACGTTGTGTACTGCAGAATTTCTCCCCCTTCTAGAGTCAGTGGACATTTTACCACGGTCATTATCGGATCATGCTCCGGTTCTGACAGTGTTCAGGGGCGGCTTGTCCCCTCGGTCCTTACCCTGGAAGCTTAATCCCTTTTGGTTGACACTGTTCCCTCCCGATGCTTCCCTGGAAATCATCTTGGGAATGTCGCAATTCACGGTGTACACCCCACTTTGGTAAAATCGCGCCCTCCCGGAAGTGTTTAAACTCAGGGGTTTTGAGGCTTGGCGCCAGAGGGGTATTCACAAGCTCACAGATGTATACTGCTCTGGCTCTCTTAAAAGCTTTCCACAGCTGCAATCGCAATATCAGTTACAAATGTCCCACTTTTATCAGTACCTACAACTGAGACATGCCTTGTCCACCCATCCAGGAATCAAGGAGGTTCAGATCTCTACCCTTCAATCGCTGAGTTCAGTGATACTTTCCACTAATACGAAAGGGCTGATTTCTGAGATATATGCAATTCTCCTCCCGCACTTTTTGGTAAAGTATCCGCTCTCAAGCAGGGGGAGATGGGAAGAGGAACTGGGCTCCATCTCGGAAGAGGATTGGGAGACGGCCCTACAGGGTGTTGGGCTCTCATCCTTGTCATTGTCACATAGGTGGACTCAAATATCTATCCTACATAGAACATATAGAACTCCGGAATTTCTGTTTAAAATAGGGCTGCGGACCGATGCCAAGTGCCCTACGTGTGGCATGGCACCGGGCTCCCTTATACACCTGCTGTGGCGCTGCCCCAAACTGGTCAGATATTGGAGTGGGGTCACTGCAGTCATTAGTTCAGTCTTCGCGGTTCAGGTCTCTTGCTCTCCGTACACATGCTTGCTCGGTATCCTGGATGCTGGCCTGTGGGACGATGTCACTCTGACTGCTGTATCCAGGGCCCTGTTTGCAGCACGAAGGGTGATTCCGCTTCACTGGATCTCCTCAACAGTCCCCACGGTAAGCATGTGGATAAAGGAGCTTGACCGCTTGATAGCATTCGAAAGAGTGATATTCCAACATAGAGATAATATCTCTAAATTCCATAATATATGGACGAAATGGATACATAGATCCGTGCCCCTTACCTCAAGTGGCAGTTGAGTTTGGTGAGGGATACATGTTATCCTTATGGTAGGTACTTGGTATCCTATCTCCCCATGCAGGAGTAGCCATATACAGAAGGAACTTGGTAGAGTCGTTTTGAGATAGCTTATAGGGTTAACGATCTTTGACGTGGTTGTGCAAACGTGTGGGATGCCCTGATGTAGGAGGGACCATGAACTGGAGGTTGAGAGGAGCATTCTAGGACCTGTGCAAGCTTTGTACCCCTACTAGTTGTTAAGATGCTTTTTGGTTCTTTCCCCGTTGTCCTCTGTATTTGTATACCCTTTCCCAGTGTGTTTGTGATTTGATTGCTGACAATAATCTGTTCATCTGTACGTAATCATCTTATACCGAAAACAACATGTCACTGTATTGTTATGTCTCTGTAAAACTTTAATAAAAATTACTTGATCAAAAAAAAAAAATAGTTATCTTTAGGGTCCTGGGAGGACATATACTAACGTCGTCCTATGACCTCTAGAGGCAGAGCTAGCTGTGCCCACCCCCTCCCCCGTTCGTTCCTCCAGTCAGCGCTGGAGGATGGGAGAGAGGAGGAGGGAATCCCTGCGGTGAGCGGTGACTGACAGTCACTACTCACTGCAGGGAGACGATCAAGAAGTGAGCAGATCGGTGCATGTTTCTGCTCACTTCCCGATCGATAGAGCCAACCTGTGACAGCTCACTGGAAATCACTCACCTCATAGATCTCCTTTAATATGTCCGGAGTTCTTCATTAAAGGTATAGAAAAAAATATGCATTTAACTTTTTTTTTTTTTTCATTGGAGCCAGTGAAGCATTGCAACTGCGGTCAGCGAATTTAGGATGCAATGCTCTGACTCCTGCTGATTCCTGCCTCTTTCTGTCCCTGTCAGGACCTTCAGTAACAGAGATGGGAGGAATTATGAATGGACTACAAGTGTGGTGACATCACAGCACTGTGAACTCCATTAAGAACTACAAATTCCTCTGCCGCAGTGGCAGAAGGGACTTGTAGTTTCTCCATCCACAGATCCTGTCAAAGGATCTATGACTGTATGACACGGTTGTGTGGGCGGAGCCATGCGCAGGAGCTATATTTTCCAAAAAGAGAAGCCGTCTGCAGGGAGAAGAGCCCTTCGATTCAGGTAAGTGGGGGCCAGGGGGTGGGTGTGTTTCAATGTGACCATGTTTCATGTTACACCCTAAATGTGGGTGTAACATGAAACATGGTCTAAAAGGTAAACTTAGCCTTTAAAGAAGAACTCTGGTTTAAATAATTGTATGTTAACACTTTCAAGGGGAGACTGTACAAAGGTTTTGCACATTTTTTTAAAATAGGGAATATTCAATAAAAAGCAGAAATCAGAAGAGTCACCTAATGGCTAGACTGGCCTACTACTATGCTGTGAATAACCTTTTTCTATGAATAGAGCTAAATAGCAAGACATTAGGTTACATACACACATGCAGTTGAAGGATGTAGAGAGCTATTAGCGCCCAGTCACACCATATCCAGTGGGCTCCGGTGCGGTTCAAGCCCGGAACACTCTGAATCGCATAGATCAAGCCGGGCAGCATTCTGGGGCGGGATGGGGCATGTTGGTACCATTCATGTCAATGGCACCGCAGACATGAATGCGATCGCCTGCACCAGAACGCGAGGTGCAGGAATACCCTCCACTCTAGTGCAGTGCGATCAGAAAAAATAGTGCATGCAGCAATTTTTTCCAAGCACACTGCACTGGAACAGAGGGCAGGGTGCCTCACGTTCCGGTACAAGCAATCGCACCCCGGGTGTG